ATGCTTGTACACTGTGGGCTTTAGAATGTATTGTTCCAATTTTAATGATTAATTCATCTGTGGGTTTATAATTTTCAGAATGAGGGAATTAAACTGTAGTTTAGTGGGAGAATTGTTAAAAAGTTTTGAGTCTAATATAAAAATGTATGATATGCTGTTCCATGAAATACTTCAGTGTGCCTGTTTTCAATTGAAGAAGTCCTTTGTAATGATGGCTCTGAGATATTAAATGAGTACGCAGCTCATGTCCCCCTTTGTAAGGGAAGCACTGTCTGCGGACATGAAAGAGTTAGTTGTTTAATATTGAAATGCATCAGGAATAAGTGCGACCAAACAAATGTGATTTTTCTAGCAGGTCTCCTACGTACCTGGGAGAGCTTGTGGTTGGAATCTTTGTTGAAAAGACTCCTTGCTATATGTACTAATAACAGAATTGTGTACAGTTAATTTTTCTAGAAAATTCTAAGTGTGATTGTTTTTAAGATTCTTGTTGCTTTGGTGTATGTTGCAGATATTTTCATGCTTTGTATCTTGGTTTTGGTTGAATCAAGTCTTGTACCGGTCTTTATGTAGATGTTGCCTTGTATTTAGTCAGGCCCAGTGTTGTTGGGTAGGTGGTGAAATAAGAAGCAATTAAATAATATACTGACATAAAAAATGATCCTATGAATGCATGTACTCATCAGTTAAAATATTTTCTGGATGGTAGGTTGCTTTAACCTTGTTCTTTTTCTTTTTAGGACAAAAAACAGTTTTGACAAATGTTCAAGAAGAATTGGATAGGATGACTCGCAAGCCAGACTCTATGGTAACAACAAGCTCTCCTCCGACAGAGAATGAAGCTTGATAGCGCTTAAAAATGCATAAATAAATGACCAAATAACTATGTATATTGATCTGATAAGACCAGGAATTTTCTGCTATGGCAGATGCTATCAGTTTTTTTGGGGGCAGGGGAAATGAGCTTACTATGTCATTGCCTTGTCCCAGTAAAAAGTGCACATTCAGGAAGTTTGCATATAAAATCCTCTGTATAAGATAACCATTTAGAGTTTATATAGGGCAATTCTTTTGGTTTTCGAGGTAAGCAGGTGCAGCTGCATTTCCTGTTGTGAAGAGCACAGAGAAGCAAGATGCAGAATTATTACTAAAATACTACTTATGACTGCACATAAGGCAAGAAAGAAACGGAATCCTCTATCAGAATTATTGGAATTGGCTACTCGTATGTTTACAAATGAGTTAAATACTTGGAAAGGTGGTGGTGATGTAACAGAACATTAATTAGGTTGAAAGAAGCCTAGGTAGGAGATGGAGCCCTAAAAGGGAAGCAGATTTGAATCAGTAAGAAACAAGAATGTTGGATTGACTGGAGAGGAGCAATGTTGTCAAATCCTGTGTTTTGCATAGGGTAAATAATCCCTGTTTTAAAAAAGACTACTTTATATTGGAGAATTCCAGGCCAAACACTAAGCATCATGGGAATTTATTCTTGTTATAAATCTTGTTTTAGTTTAGAAGAAAAGAAATGTCTAAGAGTGTGGATGCCCTTTCTGGTGTAGCTGACAAAGGGAGAAACTTAAACTTGTTTAGATCCAAGTGCCTGGCACAGCGTGTGATGTGTCTTTAGAAGGTGCTTGAATTTATTGTGCACTGTAGTACAAACAGTCACTGTTTGGTTTTATTTTAAAATGCGTAGTTTGGCAATTTGTATTTAATTTTAAGTCCTGTTTTCTGATAGCTTCTGCCTTTTTTTATGCCGAGAGGCTAGCCTATGAAGAATGGTCGGTGACGTGTCATTTTCCCATAATGAAATGTGCTACAGAACACTCAGTATTTTTTTCTTACTTTTTGTAACTAAATATTTGCTACCAAGCTAAAACTGTTTCCTGCCTTATACCTGTGGAAGTTTGTAAAAAGCTTTCAAGGCCCTGTTTCCAACCACATCTGCTGCAGGTGCAGCCAACTCCCGTTCTGAAGGTAACCTAAAAAGTACGAATGTGTACATGATGAACATAGTCAATAACTTGTTTTGTATTTTTTTTTTAATGTAGCATTTCATTTGGAAAGATGGGTTGTTGTCCCCGTTGCTGTGACGGAGCTCTGCCCATGGTCACAGAAAACCATCCTTCTGTAAAAACAAAACTGCTATGGTTACTGAAATGGCACTTTTGATTTTATATATGGTATGCTTGTTTTACATGTACACACTACCCTAAATTAAAAAATGCCAAGCATATTCTGTGCTCTTAATGCTGAAGGGAAAAACCACAATTTGAGTTACGCAGAGTTTACTTTCTGTTGTTATAAACTTGTACTAAATCCGATGTCTGGATATAACTTCCCTAATATATACTGTTACTTAAATATACAGAATTAGGTTGACCACTAACACAGTACTGGATGTTAACTTCAAATCCTATGTAACATCAAGAGGCTGTTCTTCACGTAAGTCTGTCTAAACATTATCTAGGAAGCTAAGAGTATTTACTTGCCTCTTTGACAACTGTTAACGTGAGCATGTTATTTGTGCCAGTTTTGTTAAAAATGTGTTTTTTTTTTTAACTTTTTAAAATAAAGGGTATGACCTAAAGTTACACAGTTGTCTAGATAATGGACTAAGACTGTGGATGGCTGATGGGAATGTGGATGTACTTCCTGGTGTAATGGGTGCCAGTTGCAAGTTGCCACACCAGAAGTAATTACACTCTGTCCTTCTGACACTGAGAATTGAGACTGAAACATCAAAGGCATTACAAGAAAATTGGAAAAGTGTGTGATTGTAATGGGGTAGAGTTTGAAAACCTCAGTCCAAAATTGTGTTTTTGCCATCTAACCTGATAAGCACTTTCTCTAGCAATACAGCTGAAACTTACAATTGAAGTACTTCCCAGTTTTATAAAAGTGTTAAATATACTAAAATTTATCAAAACTGATAACTGTAACTTAATAGCTTTGCAAAAAGATGCTTCTGACAAAACAGAAACAGATTTCCAGTTTCTAATTGCAAGTGAATGCTCCTAGTTTATCAGAAGAGTTGTAAGTAATGTAGCATCCTGTGGCTGCCGAAGTCTGCCAGCTTTGGTGAGCTGCACAGTTCTTCTGGTGTCTTCAAGCATTGGAACCAAAGGCCAATTGCAAACAGCCTTCACATTTTCAAGCGAAACTTCATTGTATTTGCAGATACACTTGTACGGTAGACTGTTTAAACTGTTATATGACTGTATTTATATGCATTACGGTGACTGCATCTACTATTCGTGTTTAAGAAAACAAAAAAAGAAATTGTTCAACTTGAAGCAAATATAAAAGTTTAAAGATTGGCCCTCCATAAAAATGCTGTGGTTATGCTGCTTGATTTTAAGTTTGCACTTTTTTTATTGGCATTTAAAAAAAACTGTTTAAACTGAATTTCGTATTTTATTTAATTTAACTGCATTGAAAGTGACTGCTCTGTACATCATGAACTTAACAATATACATGCTGTAAATGAAAGTTCACTGTCCTGTATACTAAGGGTGTTTTTTGTTTGTTTTTTTGGGGGGAGGGAAGGAAGGTGGAGCAGGGTGGGTGGCGGTTGTTTATTTTGTTTGTTTTTTTTTCCAACTTATAATTAGGACTGCAAATGTATGAGACAAACCTTAGACCAGCTGTATGGCTTTAACCAAGTGCAGTATGCAGTCATGTGGGATCTTGCTTTCTAGTGCTGGCAAAATAAGGACATCTTTAATTACTGGCTTCAATAAACACGAATCCAGACTGCTCTATGCTGTGATTTTTTTAAAAAAATTTTTCATTTTCATTTTTAAGATCACCCTTCTAGAGCTGTTTCTGTGGGAGCAGAACATCAGTGAGTTCAGTGAACAGGAGAGTTAAGTCGGCTCATACTTGTGTACAGGGTGGAAAGCTAGCCACTTGGATGGTGTAAGTAATGGACTGCTAATAACAGAACTAAGTTTTTTTTTCCTCTTTGGTAAGTGCAACAAGTTTTTCTTAGTAAGCATAGAAAGAACTGGCCAATTTAAGTAGGATTTTTCTGTTTCCTTGTTACTTGAGCTGGATGCCTTTCTGTTCTACATAACCTGAAGTTCTACTTCATTAATGTTTGTGACTAATTTCTGTTACAGAAGCCAACTGAGCTTTTGATTGCTAAAATACATAGTTTGTGTAGAAGTGAAGCTTTATGAAGCCATGAAGCAATTATTCTGTGGAGTTACCATAATGCTTCTTCTTTGAATGAGTTCATTAATATACAGTAAAGTATTACTTTTGGTTCATTTAAAATGCAAAACGTTCAAGGTGGGATTTAGAAAATAATTTTTGAATATATGATGAGAAATATATTTAGAGGGGAACTAAATGAAAGTTTCATCTTCAGATGTATTGAAGCTGGAAATGGCTTTATTCATAAAGACCATAATAGTGGATAGAAATGAAGGAACGCCCCTGTAACTCTTGTGTGTACTTCACTGTTATTTGTCAGTAGGGTTGTGGGTTGTTAGTGATTTTCTTTTTTTCTCTTTTTTTTTTTTTTTTTTTAAAGGCAAATACCTCAATAAAACAAACAGACATGAGGTAGCATGGTTTTTATTACACTGTGAAAAACATCTTGCTGGAGGCTCGAAGCTACTTGCTCAAAGTAAATCTTCCCCTGACTCTGCTGTTCCAGAAGGTGGCATTAAGCCTTCTGGCTTTTCAGCCATGGCAGGCTTTTGTTAGCATATGAAGTTCTCAGATAAGAAACTTTGCATGAATAAAGTCAGTCAGTTTCTGAGTCTTTGTAGTTCAGATACACATGGAGGAAGGGCTGTTGCTGACAACCTAAAAGAGCCTCTAGTTGTCTGGAACAGTACTGTGGAACTGCACAGAGTATCTAAAGTTACTGTTCAGTACCGAAAGTAAAACTTGTGTGTTGCTCAATCTTTTTAATTAAAACAAACAAATAGTATATTCAGAGGATAGAGATAGTTTAATTCCAGAAGCAATCTTCAGGTGGAGCTCAGCTTTCCCTTTGATGTAAGTCTTCTAGCCCTTCTGGTACAACCTTCATAGTAATGAATTATTTGTTCCCTGATCCACTCAGATTTTGCAGAGAAGTTGATGTAAACACAAGCAATTAAGAAAGTCAGCAGTCTGAACAAATGCTTTGGGTCACTGCGTGGCTCTGGTTTCACAGCAGAGATGTTTGCAGTGAAATGTTACTGTGCCTCATAATCAGCCATTCCATGTAGTGGGTGTTGCAGTAGTGTAGGTGAGGACAGAATCTGATCTAACATGCTTTCTTCTTTCTAGAAAAGTGGAATGAAGCAAGTGCTGATATGTGCATGTATGTCAGTGCTTCTGTAACGCTTGGAATTGAAATACATTTAAAAGAAAATAAATGCTTTTCAAGTGGTAATGAGCTACAGTGCTTCAAAACCATGGATGTCTATAAACTGTAAGTGTGGGTGGGGCATCTAAGTCTGCCTTAAACTGCCTTAAAAAAACAATTAGTTGTATCGGTGCATTGCACATTTCTTGTGCCAAGCACAGCAGTGCACCTAACAGCACAGTGCTCACACTGTTTAGAAATGCCACTCTTATAAAAGGTTTGAATTATCCATACTGGCTGGCATGTACATCATGCTAATAAATGCATACTTGAAAACTATCTGTAGGATAATGCTGTAGACATGGAAGCAATTATTTTTCTCTACTGCCATTCTTTGCAGACTTTCTGTGTGGTAGATTGAACATTACTAGTTGTAAATTTTATTTGAAGAAAAAGATCTTTGACTCCTCTCTCCTTGATAATTAATTATTAACTATGTTTGACTGAAGGTTTCTGTAGATGCAGTGTTCCAGATGGTGGTGGTCTGAGATCAGTGCCTTTAGGCAGTGCTGCTTCATACACCATTTTAAGATGGTATATTCTTTGCTTGTGATGAGCCCTTAATAATTCTTGTGTAGCAGACTTTTTAGGCCAAATGCCTTTCAAAGAGTAAATTGCAAAAAAATACCAAATGAAAGCAGTTTCAATTAATTTCAGTAGCAGTTACAATTCTAAGAATTTTCCTAATATGGGTTAAACTTTTTTTTCCCTGAGTCTTAACTAAGCCACTCTGATTCTTTGCTTTCAGAACAAAAGCTTAAATAGCAATGTCCAACCCTGAAGAAAAACAGTTGTTTTGGCCATTCACACAAGAGAGCTGAATTTGGGTGCAGAAGCTGATGGAATCATGCACAAGCTACCTTTTTTCTCTATGAATGTAGGTTTAAAGAAGTTGTTAATGCTTGCTCATGTGTAGCACTCAGTGTTCCTTTATGGTCATGTAAAAAATGTCATCCTTGTAGAAGTGGTTTAGAACAATTTCAGAAACTGTTCAAAATACACCAGAAGAATTTTTGCAACATTAAGGTTCTAGGAATAGTCTTAAACATAGAAAGAATTTGCAGTAAAATAGTGAATTTCTATAGGAAGGGAGACGAGCAATCCTAAATCTCTGACACTCAGTTTATCAGATTGACAGCATTCAAAAGAACAAGGACGCCTCTTTGAGAGAGGGATTGAAGTGGCAGGATTAAACTGAAATAAATAGCAGGAAAAGAGAGAATATGATTAAAGGAAAGATAATGGATTCAGATGGCTACTGAGGCTTGGATCAGAACATGTAATTGTTCGCTGGACTTTGAGCCAGAGTGCAGAGTGCCCTCTAACTAGTGCAGATTGCTCCAAGTGATTGGCTGCAATCTTTGTCTTGCCTTGTGTTGTGCTTGTTTCCACTCGGAAAAATCCCAGCCAGGTTTTTGTTCTGACAATGACCATTTGACTGCAGTACAAAGTGGTAAAGGCCTGTCTGAGCCAGGAACAGGGAAGTCAAATTGTGGTCCAAGAGCACATAGGAATGGTGGGTAGGTGTTAAGAGAGGATGATATGTGGCTAGGCTGAGTCTCAGTAATTAATGTCTGTTTTTGAACACAGCACTTAACACCCATTTTGGCTGCAGAGAAGACTTGGATGTTGCACTCAAGTTTACTTGAATTTATTGATCATGTTGTAAGTGGTAGGACAGAGGTGGAGATAAACGTTACTTGCTGTGGTTGGTTAATGAGAACTGTTTGACGTGGATGATAAATCACTATCAAGTTAAAACCTCTCTTTTCCAGAGGAATCAAGTGATTATTTGTGAAAGACTTGGTTTACTGACTGTATTTTTGGAGATGGTTGGAAGGCTAATGAGATAAAAGTCTTCATCTGCTCTGAAAGGTGAGGCTACTATGGGAAGGAGGAAAAGCTTAAATTTTATTAAAAATCAGTCACTGACTCCAGAGAAAATTACTTAAAACCAAAGGCAAAAGGCTTAGGGTGAGCACTTGGTACTTGTGGCCAAACCCAGGACTGGATTTGTGTAGCTTAGGCGTGGGGGTCAGTAAGGAGTGATCCAGAATTGTGCCATCAGTGCAGTAATCTCACCGTGACCTGAATGACAAAACTTCACAGCTAACAGTATCTTTTGGTAATAATTGTTGGCTCCTGTTGTCAGGGGCTAGTTTTGAAAGAAACAAGTGGTGTATTAGTCATTGATATATGTAAGAGTATTAGATTGCTGAATTAATACCAACATTCATGTATGTTATAAACCTGAGTTATTTTACGTGGGTTTATTTTCCTGGTAAAGCAACACGTGACCCAGAAAAACACTGGATTGCCAGAAGGCAGCTATAACTAGCAGCTGTTCAACTGGCTGTGTTAGGATGTTTTGATTTAAAAACAAGCAACGCCTTGCAGTGCTGTTGTAAAGGGCTGGGAGATTGCCAGTGAAAATGGCAGGATCTGAAATATTTAAAAACTTAGCTTGTCAGAATCTCTCCGGATCACCTTTTAGCTGAGCAGAAGGTACAGTACAGCTATTAACAGAATGCTGTCATACTGAAAATATTTTACTTTGACCACAGTTTTCCTCTTGCTTTTGCATGTGTGCTCTGTCCTATTCTACCCTCTCATTATAAGCAACTTGAGTCTTTTGGGCCATTTCAGTTGAGAAGGATCTCAGAGCTCACTGAGCTAATACCAGTTGCATGAAAATTAGTGGCTCAGTAGAGAAGATAGATCCAAGACTTCCTGTGCTTAGGGAAGCGTTGCCAAGGAAGTTTGGCCAGTCGGCAGGCGAGACAGGCCAAGCGCAGATCTGTCAGTCTGCACACATGGAACCTGGCAAAGCACTTGCTTTCTTTTGCTCAAGCAGTAGTTAGGGACATAAATAGGAGCTAAGCCTACTGCGTGTGAAAGGGGACCCTCGGGGGGTGCTGGGTCACTGGGCTCTGTGGGAGGAGTGAGTGGGAAGGTGGGAAGAGGAGAAGAGAAGACTGAAGTCTGCGGGGAATTGGGATTTATTAGTTCCGCTTTATACAGCCTTGTAAATTTGGGGCAATGTGCCTGCCTTGAGTTTATAGCTAGTGATGGAAGACTTGAAATTATTTTTCCTGTTTAAAAAAAAAAAAAAAAAAAAAAAAAGCCTAAACTTTCCATTGCATGTAGAGGAGCAAATAACTAAAGAAAGAAATACTCTGCAAGGAGGAGAGCCAAATTTGCTGAATGTCAAATTTTGTTGCATGTAGGAATTAAGTGCTGTTGAGTGAATTAAGTTCTTTGAACTGCTGTCACATTAGCTGATGTAAGCAATAACTGCAGGTAAAACAAATTCCAAAGAATAACTAAAAAATGAACTTTTAAAACCTTTGCAATTCTCCACCAGAGGCAGAAGGAACTGCTTGGTTTGGTTACGTAACAGCAAACAGTATTAAAACAGTTGAGGTCAGTTGTTTTCGCTGGCCCGTTTCATCCATGGAAAGAAAGAATGCAGTGAGTGTACTTCATCTTCGTATTTATTTATACATTTTATTTAAAGCCTGCTGAGAGACCTTTAAAACTTTGTTTGTAAGGCATGGTTTATACAATTTTTCTTCCACCTTCTCAAAAAATAAAAATGATCTTTTTCCCTCCAAAGGGCTGCTGTATCCTCCACACTCTATCTCTTGCTGAAAAAACTCTAGATGCCACAGGGCAGCATGGCCATGGCCATGCAGTCAGAGGGAACTGCTGTTCCCTGACCTTCTGTTCTGCACTTGTGTATTTTTATGGTATTATTGGAAGAAGACTACCTTTTTTCTCAGTTGAGATTTTTTTTTTCCCCTCTGTTTCCTGAATAAATGTAGTGCCATGAATAAAGTAAACATTGCTGTCAGTCTCTCTGCATATTTTTCAGTGTGCTTCATTATACAGAATTCTTTCAAAAGAAATACAACCCACGGCCTTGGCTGGTTCCCAGCATCATTAAAAGTCCACTGGCACTTTTCTGAAGAACATCAGGCTTTGCTTCTGTTTTTTATAGAAATTAATTTAACCTCCCTCATATAGAAAGCCTGCTGCCCTTCATCCCAGATGTGGCTGTGGTGTAATCCCTGTCTGGCACTTGCAGGTTGCAGATGTCCATGAAGGCTTTTGGAGGTGAAAAGAGTCAGTGAATGCTTCACCAGTGAGGAAGGTGAGGGGAGAGAATGGGCCAGTAGATGCTATTGAAGGAGATGTCAATTTCTAATCCAGGAGAAGAAAATTTATCTTGGATGGTTCATTGTTCATAGCATGTAAAATGTTCATCAGTCTGCAAAGACTGATTTCATTGCCGGTAGTGTCTTAATTTTTATTTTTAAGGGGAAGTTCTGCTTGCTGATGGTGAAATTCCAGGAGTGATATTACCCCTTTTCCCCTTCAGAAGGTGAAGCCAGCCCTACAGAGCTCCCTGGGACAGGTCTTGTGATGACTTCCAGCCACCAGTGTCCTCTGGTTGCCTTTGTGAACGCTCACAGCTGCCCTGTGATGCACATATTGGGGGAATCGGGCTGTAAGGCCTTGCAGGGCTGCTCTGGATGTTTTGCCGAGTGCTGGAACACCGGTGAAGATGTTGAAGTATGCATGGGATGATGTGATAGTATAACAATGTAGATGTGAGCATATATTACTATGTTTTGAGAACGTTCAGTGGAAGAAGCACTAGAAGCATTTATACATTGCCCTTTAAATTAGGTCCCTTCTGTTCTCCTGTCTGCTTCTCTTATTACTTCCCTCTATCTGACTGCTTTGACCCCTAGCTAAGGAATGCAGTTCTTGGGGTGGCTTTGTGTAGAGTGTTCTTAGCCTGGGAGGCTGTGCAGTACTCTTCAGCTGTGCTTGGCTGAGGTCAGGTGGGTGTCCCTGCCCCACTCAGCAGTGGCCATCCTCTGCCAGTTAGAGATTACTGACTGCCTGACTCCCTGCCATTGCATCCAGTTGTCTTTCTACTGAAAGCCCATTTCAGAACTTGTGTCTTATCCGTGTTGTACTTGCATTATTTTATAACCAACTCAGCTCAGTTATTTGCCTGCTTCCTATGCTGCCAGTGGCCACAGAATCGATGTGTGCATGACATACTCAAGCTGTGAAAGTGAAGAATTTACTGAAATAAGGCACTTAAAACTACCAGATGTTTTCCTAAAGCAAATTCTTTATTACATTTTTAGATTTTTTTTTTTAATGTAAAGTTGAGAGTGCTTCAGAATTTTGTACATTGAGAAATTCAAGGAAAAAAATCCTCTTGATTCCTGAGTTAAATTCTAATCACTGCTCAGCTCTCCTGGAATTTGGCAGCATACCAGTGCTCCTTCCCTTCGGTAGGTCATGTGGAAATACTGGAGCATTTTCTTAAAGAACCTCTCTGCTCTGTTCAGGTACTTGTATAGATGTAGCTTTCCTGTTAGGATTCTAATTCCTTTCATGCTTTAATTACATTTTCCTCACAATAAGCACTGTTCAGATCTACAAAATTTTATGTATCAGCTTTAGAATACTTTGTGCATTAAAACTATACCAATGCAACTTCTAAAGTCTGGTTTTAAGTTGTTGTGAATAGAACCATATGTTAATTTTGAAAATGAAATTTAAACATGTTTCATGAAATGAACCCCCAGGAAGTTCACAGGTTTATTAAAAGGTGTACTGAAGGCTGAAGTTTATTAAAAGCTGTATGAATAGCTGAGATGAGCTCAGTCTAATCAGTGATAATGTCTAAAATCATTTTTTTCCTCATTATTTACACGTAGATTATCATTTGGTTATAGCTTATCATCACAGTCCTGGAGATTCTTTCTGATGGGGAATTTTTAATTCTGCCAAAGCTGGCTTACCCGTTCTGTAGAAATACAGATCTTCAATTCCAGCGCTTATGAACAGCGTCCAGGTTTTTGCTTGTTTCCACTCTTCACTCAATTTGTTGAAGGATGTGAAGCGTCCTCTGACAAATGCGATGACCTGGCTATTAGCTTGATGCAGTGATGTTATCCTGAGTGCTGATCACTGACACGTTCCCCATTTTCCAACTTGTGGAGTTCAGGCGCGCAGTGAAATAGCAGGCTTTGTTTGAAGAGCTCATGAACTTGTGAAAACAAAGTTATCTGAAAGCAGTGTGATTTGCCTTGGATGAATGCAGTGACCTTTTTACTGGATCAATACTTTTATTTACATATTAAACGTAGACATTTTTTTCCTTCAAGTGCTATGGAGCAGAGTGAAAAGGTGCCGTAACAGGCAAGAATGTGTGTAAAGGATTCCTTTGTTAAATGTTGGCAGAAACCTCACGAGCCCTTGCCAAGTCTGTCCAGCCCACCCACCCATCCAAGAGGACGCCAGAAAACCCCCCAGTATGGCTTGGTATTGGCTTTGTGCCACTTACAGCATGGGGAAGCTCACTGCGTGCTTCACCGTGCCGAATGGGGCAGCATGGCCGCGGCTGGCGGTGCCAGTACTGCTGCCCTGCACACAGGTAGAACATCTGAAACCACTGTGTGACCGTGTCAACATGCCTGCTGAAAGCACGGCCCATAATTGTGTTCAAATAACGTTGCAACAAAGAGAATGCTTATTGTGCTTCCACGACTCAGGCAATTAGCTCCCTGAAGAATGGAGCATTTTCAGTGGTTTCATACTTTGCAGCATTCTCTGAGTGCTTTGATGATTTTAAATGCATTTAGACCTTGTGTCCTCCATTTTAGAAGGAAAACAAAGGTCTTAGGAAGCTTGCAGAAGGCTTCACAGAAGACAAAAAAGTGGAATTGAAATGGAATTGAGGCTTCTATCTCACTTTCTTCCTAAATCAGTCAGCCATCTCTCCCCTTGACCTTCAATTGCCTTCTGCAGTACTACCTTTTTTCTCCTTTACTGCTGTCTAGATTGGAAGTGCAGGAGATAAATCCACATACTGGTTGCTGGATGTTTAGAAATGTTACACTGCTCACAAGATCTTTCTCAAAGCAGCATGTGGTCTCCTGCAGATTAACGCTAAATGTATGGGCACAAGAGGAGAACTGATAAAGAAGCAGAACGTAATGGGAATGAGAAAAAATACTGCAAGGTTTAAAGTCCTGCTTTGTTGGTGTCAGCAATACTGCGATGGTAAAACACTCGGGCAAGAGAAAAGCAACAGAGGAATTCACATATATGTGAAAATCCTGTGAGAGAAATGAGGGATGTCAGGAGCAAGGGCTGCAATTCTTTTTTCTGTGAACGCAAAGGCCACCTTGAATAACCCAGAACGATAGCAACATTCTTTTCGATACGTGCGGATTCAGCGGTGGGAACTTCTACCGCGAATACAAAACAGGTAAGGACCAGGCGAAGCGCCGCGCCAAGGACCGCTCGGAGCCACGGGACGGCAGCGGGAGGCACCGCGCCGGCGGGACAGACAGCGGCCCCGGCAGGTGCTGCCCCCCCCCCCAGCCGGGAGGCTCCGGGCGGGGCGGGCAGACCCGGCCCCGGGGGCAGGTGCCGGGCAGGGCCGGGGGGCGGAGCGGGCTCTCTCCGCCATTTCCGCTGAGCGCAGGGGGGCGGAGCGGTGGCGACGGCAACGGCAACGTCCCCGGTCGGAGCTGCCGCGCCGAGACGGGAGCGGCGGGAGGGAAGCGGGGCGGCGGGAGCCCGGGCTGGGAGACGCGCGCGGGCACGGCGACTCCGCGCGGCCCTCGGCGGGGCGAGGGCGCCCCCCCGCGGCGGGGCGGAGAGGGGCGGGCTCCTGCCGCACGGGGCAGCGGCCCAGGCGGCCGGACCGGGCCGGGGCGCGGCGCGGCGCCATGCGGCGTTCGCGCGTCCCGCGCCCCTCCGCCTGACGGAGCCCCAGCGGCCGGCACGGCCATGCGGCCGGCGCTCCGCTAGCGGCTCAGCCATCCCTTCGGCGGCGCGGCGGCGCCGAGCCCGGCACCATGAGGAACGGCGAGGACCTGGAGGGCTTCGACGGCGAGGCGTCCAGCACCTCCATGATCTCGGGGGCCAGCAGCCCCTACCAGCCCACCACCGAGCCCGTCAGCCAGCGCCGCGGGCTGGGCGGCCTTCGCTGCGACCTGGAGTACCTGCGGGGCACCTTCGGCAGGATCAAGCTGGCCGAGGTGGTGAGTAGCGCGCCGCGGAGCGGCCTCCCGGGCGTCCTCCTCGGGAGCGGAGGGGCGGGAGCGGCTCTCGGGCCGGAGCGGCCGTGGAGCGAACGTCGTCCGTCACCTGCTGGGCCGCTCCCCGCGCCCGCGGGACGCCGATCGGCTGCCTGCCCGTGACCCGGGCCCGCCCGAGGGTGTGAGGAGAGCGGGGCCGGGCGCGCGCGGTGCCGGAGCGATGAGCCGCTTCTGGGAGGGAAAGGGAGAGCGGCGCGGGGCCGGAGCTGTGCTGTGCCGGCGCTGCGCTCGCTGCGTGCGTGCCTGGCTGAGTTCCCTGAGCCCGAAGTGAGGAGAAACCCTGAAAGCAATCTAAAAAAGAAACAAAAAAAACCCCAACCCAAACGTTTCTCCGTTCTGAAATAATTCAGGTAGCGTTTCCTCATCCGGCGCTGCCCGGCTCCGTCGCTTGGCGGCTGGGAGCCCTCGGGGGGCTGCGAGCACCGCTGCGGTCGCGGTGTGACGGCTCCCGGCTCCTCAGGTGCTGCTGACGAGGGGCTCCATCCGGGCCGCGCTTCGCAGATGCACGCTGTTCACGTTCTTGAAATTAGCAGATGGATTTGAAAGATGTTTTAAAATCGATATGAAAACGGCAGTAATTTGGAAACAGGTTTCTATGTGGTTTCTTATGGGGTGCTGCAAATGGTCTCCGTAAAATAAATAAATTCCTTGAGAGCTGTAGCGTTTTTAAAAACAAGCAGAACTCATATGTGTTACTTCAATGTTCAAAACCACTGCTGTTTGTGCAAGGCAGAGCTTGCACGTGCAGGTTTCATGTAAGGTGCAGTCGAAGTCCCTCGGGTCCAGCAGTGAGCGCGGCGTCACGGCAGGTTGTGCTGTCACCATGTCTACAGAAACGCAATGGAACTCAGCACTTGGAAGTGCCTTTTGTGTTCTTGTCCCTGCGCGATAGAGCAAAATGTGGGAGTGTTACGTGAGTGCCCTGAGCAGGCAGTGGCAGTGTGTGCATTGCATGTTTTCAGGAGTGAGGCTGGAGGACCTGCTGTTGCTGTGCAGTGCCGACCTGTTGCTGTGCTGCTGAAGCTGGCCCTGCAGTACGAACTGTGCAGTGGGGCTGCCCAGCAGGTGAAAGCCGTCTGCCCTTGAGAACCTTGTTTCTGATCCCACACTGATCTCTTCTGTGGTGTGCTGGTAACTCCAGCAAGTCACCTTTGAAGCCTGCCATTCAACGAGTGGTCACTGATCATAAATAAATGTCTATTGTTGTTAGGATAGTGTTTTAAAACATTGTTATGAAAACATATGGATTTGTATGGAACTAATTTCAAAGGTTTGTGGAACGTTTGTGTCTCCCACTGGGGACATGTAGTTCATGTGTGGAGCATGTGAATGCAGCGGTTGGAAGCTGACAAACTGCATTAACTGATGCAGGCTGGAGGACTATGCAGCACCTCAGTGAGCTCAGGCTCTGTGTGGTTGAGCTCCAGAGGAGCTGTGTGGCTCGTGGTAATGACTGGTGGGGCAAGATGCTGAGTTCTGCACGCTGACTGGAAGCAGAGCGGTCCTGGACGAGAAGAAGGAAGAACTCATTCCATGATGCACTGAATTCACTTATTTGCCAAATGTAATTTAGTTGTTATTATGCTTAATAATGCCTTTAATGTACTGTGGGAACTGAAATGTGTCAAAGGCCATTGTGTAGTGCTGACTTGTTTTTAAAAGTGAGGAGGAACTCCTTTATTGCACAGATGGGAACCTTCTCTTCCTCCATCCTCCCCCCCCCCAAAAAAAAAAAAGTGTGAGATTAACAGTGTCTCTAAATATTGGTTTAAGAAAGAAATGCAGCAGGAAAGATGACAGTGCAGTGCTTCATTTAGCATCAGGGTTTGTGTTAGGTTGGCAGGCAGAACTATCAGTTCAGAACAAGCACTGCCACTTGCATTAATCTCTCACTGAAGGACTCCCACAGCACAGCTCTTGTGCTGTGGATGGGGTAGGGCTGCTGGGTGCTGCCATGGTGGCATCCACGTGTCCCATTTTGGTTCTCAAAAGAAGGAACCAGGAATGGGGAAAAGGCAAAAGCCTGAAAGGAAAGGCAGAGGGCTTGCAGGACTGTACGTTGCTCTTCGTCTGTTCAAAATGCTGCTGCAGGAGTTGTTGCAAGATGGAAAGCAGTGTGAGGGGGAAGCCTGTGGAGTAATTGAAGCACTGCTAGATGGGAGGATGGTTTTAGCTTGTTATCCGTATCTCAAGAGAATATGCCATAAACTGCCCTTTAGAGGGGCCCTGCTGCATTGTGAACACATGATAATGTTGATGGTTCATGTCGTGATCAGCACTTTCCACGTTTTCTCTTGGCTTCCATTTCCTCAGCTCCCAGATAAGGGTGAGCAGCGTTGCATGTTGTTAATGATAAAATGATACGTGAACCAAGAGAACTATTTTGATATTTGGGATTTTCATTAGTCGAGGCTAAATTTAACAACTTTTTGGTGCATACGGCTGACTGCTATCTGTGGCTGTTAGCATGTAATATGAAGACTAGTGAGAAAGTAATAGGAACAAGTAGCCTTGTAGAAGAGCTAAGCGTTGAGCAGGTGTTACCTTTTTTTTTTTTTTTTTTTGAAGACTTTGTTGTTAGGTGAGCTTTCCAGAACAGCTCTTTAGCTACTCCTTACCATTGCAGTGGGATAGCTTTATGTGTGTGTTTGGATGTGTGAGGAAGCACCTGGAGTAATGGAGGTTGGGCAGAGCTGTGAGCCTCTTTGGAAGGAGAAGAGGAAGGTGCTGAGCAGTGGGTCGTGTTGGGACAGGAGAGGGCAAGAGAAGCTAGTGCCCTTATGTGCTGAGTGTGGTGTGACGGCTGTCCTTGGAGATGAGAACAGAAAAGCTCTGTAGTTTATTTTCATTTCTCTGTGGTGTAATTTTACGTTTCTTATGCTTTGGGGGGCTTTAATACTTCCCATGCAGACTATTGTATGATGAAGCAGATACAAGTGCAAACCTTTCCTATGGACATCCTCAACCGATTTGTTGTGTTTCAGATTTTTTCCCCCTTCCCTTGACTTTTACTAACATAGTCTCGTTCTCCTTTCCTGAGAATGTTTTTTTGGCATATGAGAAACTTCTTTGTGGGGAGTTGTTTGGCTTTAGATAAAATTGAAGGTGTGAGAGAAAAGGAACAGCTTTTCTAAATGTGTTACTGTCTTTCCTTCATTGTTATAACTCTGCATTTTGCAGAATTTTACCATTATTATTGGAGTTGGGTGTCAGAATATATTTACTGAAATTTCTGAGGAAAATCATGCCTGCCTGATGCCTGCTTCTCCATCTCTTTGGAACTGCATCTCCTGGTGGGCTTCTCATCAGGAAACCAGCTGAGCGATGAGGAAACAAGTCAGGATCCTGATGGGAATCCCACTGTTCTTGTTGGAATCCTGCTAGATTTTCGTAGGCAGTTGATTTGGGATCAAGGAGCACTTATCTACGAAACAGTACTGAGCCAGGTCTTGTCATGCTGGTGGTAGTTTGGAATGGTTCATCTGGAGCAGCAAGATTGCAGAGCAACCTTCTGGTGGAAGCAGTGTCATAAACCTTTCTGGTGTGCTGCCGTGGGGAGGCTGGGTGATCGCGGTAGGCAGTGGTGGCCCCTGTGGCTCAGACAGTGCTAGACATGTTCTTAATGTGCCAGTTCCAAAAATCCATCAGATTCCTCTTCAAGGAGATAATGCTTCTGCTTGGGAGGTCTCTGGGCTGCAAGTCAGTGATGAGCGTACTGGGAAGTATCGCTGCGTGCTTCTCTGCTCTGGTTCCTGTTCTGTATGCTATTGCTTGTTGGTGGAGGGAAGATTCTGGGCTTGACAAAATCTGGTGGGAATAGCAGTTCATATGTTCATGATTTTCTGAGTAAAAAATTCTATCTTCATTGGTGGAGAGTAGCTGAAGGTTGGAAAAAGGGTTGTTTTTTATTTGTTTTTTTTGGTGTGTGGCTTACTATCATTGTATGTTTCCAGATCCAGACATTGGTTAAGGCCAGGACTACACTAGGTTTTTGCTATTAGGGTCTGTTACAGTGAAGAAATGAAAGTGCAAAAAGCCTGTCGTGTTTACGACACTTCCATGTACCTACAGTAATTCTACTGAGAGTTCCCACTGTTTATAATAGAAAAAAAATGAAAGCAGTATTTACTGTTCCAAGCAGTGAGATAACTGCCAGCTACTTGAACTAGTGCAAGGTGTAACCAGCCATTTTGTTTAATTATCCCAGCACTCCTGTGCCTTCACCTCGGAATCCCCCCATCCAGAAGTGATGAGAGTGGGATGACTTGCGTGCCCCGCTGTTCAGTGGGATCCAATGCTCAGCATCTCAGCGCTTGAACAGCTCTGCCCCGCTTCGTTGTCCCGTGATCTGCCTGCACTACTCTGTGCACCTCTCCTGGTATTTCTGAGGGTTCCATTGTTGTGTTCTGTTGTAATTTCCAAACAGCAAATTTGTGTTTGTGTAAAAAGTCCTTGTGACTTTGCATCATATGTTGCACTTGGGTTCTTGGTGCTGTTCGTAGCTTCCTGTGCACAAGTCAGGAGTTTGACATTGGATACTGCTGGTCTTTGGCATCTGGCCCTAGAAAAAGGACTTGCAGTATCATGTTAAAGGATAATATTTTTAATACACAAATATGCTTAGAAATTCAGTTTAGGTAGGCCATGTCTTTTGGGTGTCTCTGAGCTGCTTCATTTCTCTTTGGTAAGTTTTTCTTTAAATGTTGTAGCTTTGTGTGCTGTGCGGCAATATTTTTGTACTGACATTGAACATGGAAGGAGAGATGATGAGATAACACCAGCTAGCTTTGCTTTTTGTTGTTTCTGTGTGTGCGTAAAGAAAAGGTGATGGCTTTCATCCACGGGAAAAGCCATTTTCATTGCTCTCTTTCATGGGGTCTCTTAAGTATCATCTAGACGTGGGCTGTTGTCCTGCTGCTAAACTCCTAATTCCAGTTAGAAAT